GCCTCCTTTTTCCTCTTCCTGCGCTGGAGTAACAAATCACGCCGGGTTGTTAAAAAGAGGGAGAAAATTACTCTGCGCGGGAACAAAACAGGAAATGAGAGAATCGGAAGGGCACAACACAGATGGCGTGTCCCTCCCCTCGGTAAGTGAGCGCCCAGCACACCAGTCTCTCCGGGTTATGCTTTTAAGCAGCACGTGGTCATGGGGCCAGTGCTGCAGCAGAGGGGCGTGAGTTGACTTCTTTCCTTCCCGGGGCATGTGCTGACAGCGCATCTGAGCATAATGTTGAACCGATGAGACATTGCGAAGGGTCATGCCCCAGGCTGGGATTAGGCTGGGTCTCACACATTCAGCCCGAGAGCAGCTGACCGGATAATCGAGCGGGTGTGTTGTCTCCTCCATGGAGGCATCTCTTCACAAGAAATAAAATACTCACGGGGTGATCTGCTCAGCAGCTGACAAGAACATTTAGGCCAAGCTCCGTTTATCAATGTGTGAGCACATAGCTGTCCGGGCCAACACCCTCCGTGAGCTGGCCCACCAAACTCCCTTCATCAATCGCAGCAGCCAGAACTGCAAAAGCTGCTGCCAGAAACCTGCTCAGCTCCTGAGGAACAGGATCCTGCAAAACCGTGATGCAAATCATTGCACCGGGCAAAAGCAACACCCACCACCACCACCACTCCCGGCCCCAGGGCAGACCTCAGTGGGAAAACCTATCTGTCACCTACCTCCACGAAGTATTAAAATCAGTTCAGTGGAATCAGACCATGTGCTTGGTTTGAGGGGTTTATTTTTCTGTTTTCTGAAACCACGTCTTTATTTGCAGAAAGCTAGGAGCAAAATCTGACAGTGTTTTCAGTAGCAGTGCACAGCATGTTGTCCATGGTGCCATGAAGCCTGAATGGTAGGGACTGTCTCCTCAAAACTTCTGGGGTTCTCTACCTCAGGGTAATTGTTTGTGTGCAGACCCTCTCTCTCTCTGTTCATTTTGTTCCCCCCTTTACCCACATTTCGGCCTTGGTTACCTCTGGAAAATAGTTACTTTTATCTTTGCGGTCTTGCAGTAGTTAATGATTTTACCATTTTTCCTTTTGTTAATCCTTCTCTTCTGTTCCATCCACCCTTTTCTCACAATAAGCCTAACTGGTTAGTATAATCTATGTAAATTAAGAGCTCTTTCTTTTTCTGTGTCTGTAATTAGCCTGAAGTATACTGCTTCCATTTTATAAATGAAGAAAAGCCTCGCCTGATTTTTTCGAGAAATATCAGCGGGCTTTGTTAAAAAAACCCAACCAAACTCCCTGCCTGTACGTTTTTGTGGTAAACAGAATAAAGCACCAACTTGCGATGCTCAAAGACACATTCGGTCCAGTATTTCCAACAGCATCTCCATTGCAGCTGTCGTGCTTTTCTCGGGGAAGGGTGAGCTCCCGCCGCGGAGGGCCCGGGATCGGCTGCCGGCAGCGCTGGGCTGGCAGGGCAGCAGGATGGGCAGGCTGGGCGCCGGCAGGCTGGTGGGAAGGCTGCCAGCCCCGGCCTGTTCTCTGATCTCCCATCTTGTGACTGCAGTCACAAGGCCAACTCTTTGCGGCTGGCGGTTCAGGCTAACTTGATTTCCAGTCAAAAGTAATGTGCGAACAGCCACTCGGTTTATTAGAGACTGGTGGGGTTTCTGTTGCTTTCTTGTGTTGTGGGATGCTGCCAGGTTTAGGTAGTTTGCTTTTATTTTACTTCTGAGATAGGTGCAAAGGTGCCCTGAAATTGGAACTAAGAACTAGGTTTGTCAACATGTTGGAAAACAGTGCTTTAAAAACACTCGTGTTTGTTATATACCTGGTACAATACAACTAATATACTTTCCGTTCTGCATTGTCCCCCAAAAGTAATAGAAAATCAAGCTGGCATTGGCTTTTATTTCAAGAAATCATTAAATAAAAGGCAGACACATGAACTAATATTTAAACAAGCCTGTTCGTGCCCTGGATGTTTTCACGCATTTTCATTTTTATGCCATGTTGATGAGTATCTGAGGAGTAATATAAGGCATCACACTCTCCTGTAGGCAGAAGCCGAGTCAGAGCACCTTTGTTGTGGGCACTGGTCCATGCCGGCTTCCCTGATCCTCCTGGAGGTGTTGATGGCAGCTCGTGGTGCCTCCCCTTTCTCACCACTCCAAACACTAAATACGGTCTCTGGATTCTTAAAAAAAGTATTAAAAAACCCTACATCTCATTTTCTCAGCTGTTAGGCTGCTCTCAGGCATCCTGGCAGCTGACCATGAAGGGAAGTTGTGGCGCAGTATCGCAATGGCTTCATAGGCGGTGGATCCCCCACCACAGACCCCCTGTGGTTTGTGTCAGAGAGCTCTGGAGAAATGGTCTGAACTGGTATTGCACTGGGAAGGGAAACTTTAAAATCCGTCCTGAGGGTTTAAGGAGAACCCTGTAGAGCAGTCTGGTTGCAAGGTTGTGCTGGATGTAGCAGAGAACGTACAAGTAGTCGGGAAAGCAGTGTAGGTGCAGTAGGTCAAAGTGGGACTCTGGCAAAGAAAACTCTCAGTTCACACTGAAGAAAGTTGCTGCTTTCTTAATCTGCAATTGGGGTTTGCATGGTTTGTTTATACAGGGAAGATACTGATCTCTTTGTAGATACCAGCCACCCAGTGGCCCACAAGCTGTGGGCGCTATCATTTAAGCATCAACAGGCACCCAAACTGCAGTTGTTTGTCAGAATGGTGACCCAGCACGAGTTCTTCCACTAACAGGTGCTTCTGGTGCAAACTCAGGAAAAAAAAAAAACAATCATGGGAAGGCTAGCAGCTGGGATTATATGCAGATTTTGCTGTGAAATCATACTTAAAGGAAGGCAACTCGGGTGCTGTTACGCTAGCACTAGGGCACTGAATGGCTGACACGTTGCAGTATGCAGATATATACTTTAACTGCCCGCACAAAAACACAGATCTCAGTCACTGGAATGTGTATACCCACCACAATACAAACTTTCTTGCAGCACGTCCCTAAAAAGTGATGGTTTTTAGAGGCCCTGTGGTTACCCTAGGGAGTACCAAGTCCCTCTTCCGTCTCTGTCCTTAATCGTCTCTCTTGGCCCTTTGGAAACAGGACCAGGTTACAAGTGATCTTTTGTCTGATGCAGTACTGGTATTGTTAGCTTACTAGACCAGCCTCGCATTGTGCTTGGTTTTAGGTTTCTGATTTTAAAAATGCAATAGAGTTTCTCAATAAATTGGTGACATCAACAGCTATTTGTGATCTTTTGTGCAAATTGTGGAGGGGAGAGAAAGAGAGTGACTTTATAGACTTTATATACATATAGTATGGACTTTATATGCATATAAAATATATGTATAAACATATATATATATGCACACATACACTGTGTGCATATTTTGTTAGCAGGAAAACTGATTTACTAGCTTTTACAGTCGTAGTGCATGCTCCAGTGTAAAGCTGGCCATTACCTAAACCCTCTCAGTTTTTTCTGCTTCCTCTTCATTCTCCAGGATTTAAGTGTTGCTTGTGTTTTGCTGTTGATAGCAGAGATTCAGGAAGCACGTGATGAGGAACAGAATAAACAAGTACACGCTGTACTTGCTGATCCTGGGCAGTTGTCAGTGTTACAGCTTTAAAGAGTGCCAGATAAAGACCTGCAGAAAGAGTGCTTTGATACCTGAGGCAGTGCTGAAATCACATCCACACCCCTGGGATAACAATACTTGAGGGTAAATACTTGTCCTGTATAATTTTCTGTCTGCCTTTATTCAGCCTGCCTCTTCTTTATGAATAATAGAACATAGCTGTAAGTTTAAAAATATCCACTGGAGGTTCTTGGCAGGAGTATTTTTAACTCCTATCTATGTCCTCATATATTTCACAGAGTGTCCTTAATAAAGTGTACCAGAGTGGCTGGGGGCACGGAGCAGGGGTGAAAAGGAGCAGGTGGGGCAGGGGTTGCTTAGGGCAAGATGGTTGCCAAGAGAAATGTCCATATAATGAAACAGGAGGGTTATAAAGGCATCAGGGTCTAACACTTAAAGTGACCTAAATCCCAGTTTTCACACACTTATTACTTAACATAGCCTCACATTTGTTTTAATTAATAATTTTTGCTCTCATTGGTCAATGAATGCCTGCTAGTTTCAGAGCTGATTCCCAGTCTCCTTAGGCAATGTCAAGGCAGCAGGGCACCAACAGGACAGGGGTGCTGGACATGGCTAGGAACAGCAGCGTAGCATGTATGAAAGGGCAAGCTTCAATCTGAAATGAGAACCTTTCAAAGTAAAAGAAAATGGAGGTTTAACAGCGGCTTTGTGGCAATAGCTCATCTTCTGTTGCAGAGGACAGTGGATAAACAGTGAGTATGCATGATTTGAGTGTCACATCCGTAGCAATAGTTTATTGTAACTTGTGCAGTTGAAAGTTACTTGTCTGTAAATAACACAAGGCACTTTCCTGTTCCTATAAGAATTGAAATATCCTGGCAATATTGCAGCCTTCTCATCTTTATTAACTGCCCAAGACATATATAATTTGGAGCTTAAAAGTAATGTTTCAGACAGCATGAGACTTTTGGTCTTCTCAGGGCTGACAAGATAAAAAGCACTTGCAACAAAACCTCTGGCAGAAAATCCAGATAATGGCATTGCAAATGTTGATGTGAAAATCCTGTCTCAAACAATGCCAACCATGTCATGTCAGATGTAAAAATTCAGATCAAATGGGGTAACTGACACAGTCCTCCTCTTTTTGTTAATATTATATAAAGTAAGTTGGTTTTGTTTAATAATTAGGCCTCTGTCTCTACATTTGCACTACATAATTCAGAGTTAAAGGATTTTTACATTTGTCTGCATGTAGAAATGAAATTGTTGTTTTTCCCATTAGCCATTCTCACTATTTTTCTTGTTCTCATAAAGTGTGATTTTCACTGAGAGATTGGTGCTAATTGCAAGAAACCACCATCTTGAAAGGTACGGGTTTTCCTGTAGACTGAAGACAGATGAGCAAGGTCTGACATGGAAAAGCCCTTAGCTGCTCTTCTGGTGTTTCTGTACACAAGCGATGTATTCCTGCACATCATTTGGAGAACCGAGGATAAGAGGGACTCTCTGATGAATACTCTCAGGTTTCACATCCAACACCGCCTCTGTCCCTGTGGTCGCCATCCCACCTGCCTGCTCAATGATGAAAGCCATAGGGTTGCACTCATAGAGAAGTCGGAGCTAGAAGGAAAGAATGAATGCGTGATTGCCTTTGGGAGAAATTACACAAAGAGACTTACCAGAACCTAACCTTCCTTTTGCAATTTTGGAAAATTTTGTACCAAACATCAATTAACCTAAGTAGCAATGTCTGCCTATCAGCCCCTCCTTCTCCCCTCTCCTCTTCTTACCTCCCTTCACACCTGCTGCTTCAACTAAGAGTGTACTGACCCTGCATCCCACCATCACCACCATCGTTTCCAAGCTGATGTACTGATGTGCAGCATCAGTCAAGCTGTATTTTGTCAAAAATGTCAAAAGTAGCTGTTGGGCCCAGAGACATCAGCAAAACAGTTAAGCCAGATAAGTTAACAGTACCAGGAAAGAAAAGCCAAAATCTCTTCTCACGTACAGGCTTTATGTGTTACCTCGAAGCTTGGGGTAACCGCGTTGTGTTTGGTCAGGATATTTTGGAGTTTGAAACTTGATGCTCCCGGTTTCGAATTTCAGGATTTGATTGCAGCCTTCAGAAATGTGAATAGGTATTAGTGGCATGAACTCACCAGATAGTGACTGTTTTCAGAAGGAACTGCAGTAATTATTAAAAGCAAATTTTCCCTTTCTGTACGGAGGCATTTTTGGTTTAGACCCGCTATCTGTTCACATCTTTAAAAACGTTACCTGGGGTGCCTGTGTTCCGGTGGAATGCAAACTGTGACTACATGGCTTAAGGAAAGGAGTTTTGCAATTGCACTTAGGGCTCTTCAGATGGGCTCTGTCTTTGGGTAGGTTTAACATTTTTCACCTATTAGAGAGTTGTAAGATTTAAGTTCATAAAAAATCTTATTTAACATATCTGATTTGGAAAGAGGATCTATTTGTTGACTGTTCTGCACTTGTTATTTAGCATTTTGGTCTCACTCTTTCTTTAACTTAAAGAAGGAGCTCTGTATGCTTGGGCCTACATGCATGTAATTTACATTTGCTCTAAAACCCTTGGACCAATTCCAGTGACATTTGCTTCCTCTCAGCTCTCTATCCAAATGCATAGACTGTCTTGCAGGGGCATGATGATCAGGGCACCTGCCACAAAGGCATTAACTCTCCAACAAGAAGAGGTTTATGTGAAAAGAATTTTATACAGCTGCCCTCTGAGAGAGAAAGAAGAAAAATTTTATTTGTAATGATAGCACAGTTTTGTTTCCTTCATTACTCTCTCTACTATGGCAATGCAAGTCAGATCAATCCAGTAGTCAATGTAGGCTAACTCACGCAGCTATGTTGATTTCCATAAAATTATATAAGTACTTTGTACATTTGTTACTTTGTCCCATTTCTCATATTTTCTCTTCAACAGCAGTTTAACACAGAATTCAAAGCAAAAAGTTTAATTTGAAAGGGACAGTCAGCAAACCCACTTCTCCTGCACAGCAAATTCCCTTTTTGTCTCTTGCTCTGATACTCAAACAGATCCACACTGTTTAATGGAGAAGGGGGATGGGGATGGGGGTTTGTTGTGTTGTTTTTTTGTTTGTTGTTTGTTTTTTTTTCTGGGATGCCGTGTCAGACATTTAAATCAAATTTGCCCAGGCAAAAATGCAGACATTTTCTGTTGTGTATTCTGAGGAGAGTTCTTTTCCTGTTCTCCTCATTTCCCAGACCACTTGGACCTGCTGTTATTATGATAAATACATGCTCACCAGGATGGAACCAGTAGTCTGTCCCTAAAGAACTGTAGGCATTTGGGTGTTCTGATAGGAGTGTGGGAGACGGGGCGAGTAGTTTTATGAGGGCAAGTTCCTGCACATACCAGCCAAGGATACAAAAATATTTGAATAGAAGATTTTAGGTATGGTATTGACCAGAAAAAAGAAGGTCTTTGAATCAGAACACCATGACCAATCATGCATTGAGACAATCATTTCCTAAGCATGACCTGCAGGTTACTGGTGGTCCGCGGATGAGCTGTATAGCCAGATCTCTTTTTAAACATATTTCTTTAGAACTTTGTTAATAAAGGTATCTGGCACCGCAGGAGAAAAGTTGAGGTTGACTATGGTCCATGGCCCAGCAGATTCATGAAATCACTGCATTGCATTGCACTGCACAATGGTGTGTTTTGTCCAGGCGTCCAAATGGGAAATCATCTTTTCCCAGAATACTGATCTCAGCACACATGAAACTCACCTTCCACTGACAGAGTCTTTCAGATCAGTTAGTAGAAGCCTGTGTTTGCAGGACTGGCGATAGCAAGATCAGTACCCTTTGGAAACAGTAGGTAGGCATACTCGGTTGTCTAACATTGGACAAAACCCTGTCTGGAGTTCAGCATCTCCCACCTGGACTAGAGATGCCAGTATAAAGTGCAGAGGTCTTCCTTAGGCCTGTGCTGTATCTGCCAGGCCTGCACAGGTGTCTCAGTGGGTTTCTGTGGTACTGAAATGTTTCTCTTTAGAGAAATGAATAAATCCCTTGGTTGCAGTGAAAACCATTTGACTAGTTTGTCATATAAAAGCACACAGGAAGATTTCTGGCCTAAATTGGCAATTGCCTGAATTTATTGCCTAAATTCAGTTGCTGACCATCATATCCATTAATAATTTTGTCCAGGGCTGGAAAATTATTATCTGTATCTAAACTATTCCTTTACCTCTCTGGGTAAAAATGAGGTGTTAGGTTGACTAAGTTCACCAGAGAGTAAGTCAAATGATTTACCTTTCCTTTAGGACTCTTCTGATTAGCAGGATACATGAAGATCCCACCATACATCAATGTACGGTGAACATCAGCTACCATGGAGCCCACGTACCTGGCACCATACGGGGAACTGCCATCCTGAAAAACATAGAGTAAAGCATTATATCTACCAGGCTAGACCACTGGTAACATGGCAAAATGTAATTTTGTTTTAAAACAGGAATAAAAGCTGCTTAAATCAATGGCTGCTTATGGACACTGTAAATGCATAAGTCAGCCTGAAGCTTAGCCTTTTGTAAGATGTAGTCATCATCTATGGGATTCTAATATAAGCACTTTAACGAGCTGCATTCACAGTATGAAAACCAGTGAGCCTGTAGTTTGAGTGCACAATTTGGTATCAACCCCCAGTCTGTGAAAAAGCAAACGCTGCAAACAGCGAGTGAAAGCTTCTTCACATTATCAGAACAAGGTACCCATTTGATTGCTGGTCCTTCACAGGTTCCTAAGCAGGGTAGGACAAGGGATGTCACTTTTCACTGTACATCCAGACAGTTCCCAGAGGATTCCAGCTTTTTCCTTCTAGCCTATTTGTCAAGTTGTAAAGTTGGTCATAGTCTTTATTTTGCAGCTTAGTTTGGGAGAGAGCAATTTATTCATGACGGTAGTTTTCCTTGCTCTCAGCTTAGAAATTAACATTGTTGAAGGAGAGGTCTTTTTAGTGAAAGAAGTCAGGGAAGTATTTATGTCAGTCTCAGGTTTGCTGGTTGTAAAAATGGTAAGGTAGGAAATACAGAGACAAGCAAGGTGTCTTGCACAAATAGAAGTTATATACACCAAATGAGCTCCACCTGAGAAAAGTGATGCATCACTATACTTTAATGAAGGGGAGATACACAATACAAATGTAAACATATCTCTCACTCCATCTTCAATGATGGGAGGGGAGGAAATTTTGCCTCCCCAGAAAATTACTAGAGACTGGGACTTCATGTATATTTAGTACACATACGTATTTGTGTACTGCAATGCTAAAAGTTTGAAAGGACCTCTGCAGGTTTCTTCTGTCTTGATCAGTTGTCTAATAAAAGATCCAAGTGCTTTCTACAAAGCTCGCCTTGTGCTGATACTAGATGCAGAGAAACACATAGAAAATTTGTTCAGCAGTGCCAGCTCCAAGACTATCAGACATCACAAGGTAGTCACCCTTCCCAGCAAGATCATGAGGTTAGCTGGGAGAAAAAAAATCCACAAGCGGAAGGAAATAACACAGATAGAGAAAAACATCATTCAATGTTGAAATCACTTTTTAAAACTGTTCTATGCAACTGTGAAGCTTTGGTATTCACTCTCTTTTGAAATGGGAATGAATTCTGATGAAATTACACAATCTAATGCAACACAACACTAGGAAATTGAGTCCTAAGCCACTAAATATAAGACTTGGATATTTGATGTAGCTGGAAGTAAAATTGGAACAGAGAACTATTCCAGCCTAAGTAATAACCCTTGTTCAACTGTACTTGTGCTGTTTTCCCTGATTCTTTCTTCTTGTACACATTAGGAGAACTATTGAAAATTGAGAGGAAATCAATACAAAGTATGAAAGGCATGATGGATAAGACACAGCCTGGAGCTTTGATATTTAGTTTGGTTTAAACCTGGCCCTATTACTTCCAGGCACACCTGAAGAATAGTTTTAAGTATTTGATCCCTTATTTTTCTCAGCTCACCCTCAAATAATTACAGATTCAGACTTCAAATGATCTTCTTCATCTCACAGCTGTTTGCACTTGTGACTTTGCAACTGCAAAAATCTGAGGTCAGAAAAAAAACACCTTGAGAGGTGTTAAAGAGAGACCAAAACAAGTATTCAGTTTAAGAAAAGACAAATTTTAGGGAA